AATTTGAAAAAAAGTTTTAAAGTTGAAAAAAAAATGCTAAAAAAGATAATAGAAGTTAGAAATAGATTGGTTGAAATTAAAAAAAGATAGAACTTAACACAATATTGAAGAATTAATATAAATACAGTATCCAACATCTAGCTAGTGTTAGGTCATGATGTCATAAAACACATGCTAGCGTGCTAATGCTCTTAGCTGCACTTCGGACAGGCCTTCTCCATTAAGACACATTAACAGTAAATTATGATGTATTCTAAACAGTGGCTTTAGCGTCCTGTTAAAATGATGGAGCATAGTGTCTTTTAGACCTGGTGCGAATTTCTGCACGATTCCCAGTGACAGTTCTTGAGGTTGCTATGGGGTTGCTTAGCAAAAACAAAAACAGAATGTAATAATAGTCGTCATATTTGTTTCAACTGCTTTGTTTAACTTGGTCCAAAAATGTTTTTCTTGTTGAAGAAAAACTATTTGGTTCCAGCTGTGATGTCTTTTTATTTTCAGTGTTGTTGTCCATATTTGTTATCTTCAGTTTTTCCATGATGCTGTGCGAAAGACTATAACTGGTCTTGATGAAAGCTCCTACATCTTCATTAGTGAGGCATCACCTCCTGGCATCTGATTATGTGATGTTTGCAGTCAGGAGGTAAACATGTTTGTCACACAGAGGTGTATTTATGTTGATCAAACATCTACGATGGGCTGCTCTGAATGTTAAGGAATTGTCAGCCCACCACGGGGCCGCTCTTCGGCCATGTGGCATGGTAGCGCTCACCGCTTCACTTTGTGCGGTGAAGGTGTTCGAGGAGGTGGAGGGTGGTTTATGGACTTTAACACTGACAGTGCAATTGCCCTTCACTGAGAATGCTTCTCCATTTTGCGCCATAAAGAATATTATTTTTCTGCCAGCCAATTTTCTCTGTTAGTCTCTAATTGGCTACATAAATCTCAGATGTAGAGGGTGAGAAATGTTGCAGTGTCACACAGTGTAATCCTCACCCTTATTTACCAATTCATTAAGATTCATTGATGCAGGATGGGTGAGAGGAAATGACAACATAAATCAGGCCTCCAATATAATGACCCTAATCAGTTGGGAATTGTAGAAAATGTCATGATGAACTATGTCCTTGTATTAGTGCCACTGTACATTGTCATTGTGCTGCTTTATGAGTAGGAGGCATCCTCCTGACATGGACTGTATTTAACAAAAAAGAGTTGTAAAAATCTGATTCCATTAAAAGGTAGAAAATCACGTCAGGTCTCCTGGTATCCAACCCCCTCGCCCTCTGTCATGGGTTTAACTGCTTAATGGAACGCCCAAACTCCCATCCTTTTTAACCCTCACCGTCCTCTCCCTGGGAACCTGGGGCTTTTAAAACAATACCATATTTCTACGGCGTCAGTGACCCCCAATATCATATTGGAGAAGAATTGCTTTCTTTAGAGACAGTCAGGGGTCAGTGGGCGGGGCTGATCCCACTCCTAACCCCACACGGCAGCGCTGTGAGACATCTAAATTCACTGAGGACTTATTATTGTAAAAGAGGAACCGTCGCATTATCATGTCATTATTTGTGCGTCAAGGTTAATGATTGTGTCCGCAAAATCAATAGGCAGGCTTACTCACTGGTTCAGTGGCTCTAAACAAAAGAATTGAAATACCTGCACCCATTCTCATGTGTTTGACCATATTCACGCCAGAAAGATGACTAGAATATGACTATACTACGTGTGTTGGAGTATTATTTGTCTTGAATCTTTATAAATAAGCATTAATTTTTTTAGCATGAGTGTGTTTGTTGATACATGTATCAAGTTTGAACATATGCGGCAGGCTATGTAACAACTTCTTGAGTGAAAAAAACAAAATTCAAAATACAATACAGTCCATCTCCAAAATATATGTTTTATAAACTAATTGGTTCTTACGCGCTCTGAAGGAGCATATCTATGTCTATACTGAGTCATCTGTGAGCACTGATGGTGGCAGATGAGAAACTCCTGAAATAGAATAGCCATTGCATCACCGTGCCATTACTTGTGCTTAAAGGTTAATGATTGTGTCTCTAAATCAATAGTTTAACTTAATCTCTTAATGACCTGGTCCAAGCAGGAGGAAGGGGATATGTGCTGCTGCTTTATAACAACAGGAATAACACTACAAGCCACTTTCAGTTCCATTCAGATCAGTCACTTCATGACTTACTCACCAGTTCGCAGCAGCCTTCAGTGTATGAGGGCACAGGGACGGCTGTGTTGAATTTGACACAATCATCAAACGTTTTGTTTTGTTGTTGTTGTTGTTGTTTTTTCCCTCTGTAAAATGACTGCTTTCATTGTGTCGGCTCACAGAGGAAGTGTGCACAATCACTGGCTCTGCCTCCGAAAAAAGACAGCCACTGTATTGATACTGCTTTGGCCTCTGTTTGTGTGTGTATATATCCCATGGGTCTTAAATACAGCTAAACTAAATCCTTGGCCTCAGTTACCATCGGTTGCTGATGTGTTTTTCTCTGTACACCTTTTTGAAAGGTCTAATTGGCAGGAGAAGCACCGGGGTAATGATGGCTGCTTCTCTCTTGCCTCTGCATCAAGCTCCTGGTCAGGATGAAATAGAGGCCCTTCGTCTCCTGATGTCTGTCCTTTGCAGTGCAGTGTTAATGGGCCCTGAGCCACATGTTAGTGAGAATATCAAAGTCAAATGAAGGAGAGTGGCTGAGAAAATATGTGGTGATCCACTCCGGAAAGAGGCTCCGCATCCCAGAATTACTATTCCATTCATGTACAGCCAGATTTAAACTCATTAGACTTCTCTATTTACTCAGTCTCCATTGGCCCCAGTTGCACTAAAAATACCGTGGCCTGCCTTACTTTGACACATTGTCTCATTCTCTGTGCACAGCAGGAGTTTGCACTGAGGTGATTCTGTACGTCTGTCTTTCTGTCTGTGTTGGACTGAACGAGCCTAATTATTTAAAAAATACAAGGGACTACTAACGGTTAATATCACACAGATCTAAATGCACATTGTTAAAAGATGAAAGGTCAATGATTTATGACCAACTACTTAGAAGTTTATCTTTTTTGTAATATAATTCTCATCCCTCCATCCTTCCTGCTGGCATATTTTAAAATAAATAAAGTTCCAACATTAAAACTTCTAAAAAAAATCAAAAACAGATCGCTATGGGAATTTTGTAATTGTTTATGTCTTTAGTACGTTACTTTGATCGTACATTTTAAAGAGAGCAAGGGTTAAACAGAAAGAAAGTTGTGATTTTTCAGTCCTTACATATTCAGTGTTGTTTCCATAAATCTAGTTAGTGAATTATTGAGTAAAGTCAATGTTTGACAGGTTTTTACAATTTTTATTGCTGCCTTCTTGAGAAGTGACTTTGTTTGTTAGTTTTGGGAGAAACACCTGGTGGCGTTGCTCAACGGCGATGTGTTTCCACTGGAGACCACCTTGCCTGGCTGCTCTCTCCCTCAGCTCTTGTCCATCTTGATCTAATAGACGGTACTTATTCAGCAGCTGCAACACGCCGCCTTAATGTGCTTTCAAATGTCAGACTTTCTGTTTATCTTTTCATGTGCTTTGTTGTTTATTTTAGCCAGGGATGCATTTGCATCAACCTTGAATCAATAACACATGGCCACCCTCTTTGTCTCCTCCCAGAACCTGTTTACACTATGCTTTACCCTTGTGTCACCTAGGAAATGGCCCGATCATTCCACCTGGTTAATATTAAATGGCTTCTGTGAGATATTTGTTCATAAACACAAACCCTGCTCCTCGTGTTTACTGTAGCTATGGCAGCAATCCCTTATTAAACAAACAGCTGCTTTGTTTGTCAATGTGAGTGGTCTGGCTGTCGTCTTCACAGGCTTGAGCAAGAACTTTTAAAGAGTGCCGGAGTGCTTCAAGTCAGATTTATTTATTTATTTTTTATTTTTTTGCAGTAGATAGACCTTCTGCAGAGTGGGGTGTGGGCTCCTGCCTTTCTGTCACAGGAGTAGGAAGAGATACTTTGCTTATCTGTGACATGGTTGAAGTGGCTGAAAGATTACATGGATGTATCGTCTGATGCTGTGTCTTTTTTGGCAAAGTATCATCTGGGCTGTTAGCTCCTCTCTTCACATGATGATACATCAGTTAACCTACAATGGTTTGGGTCACGTCACTTGTAGTTTGCAGTAATTTCTTCTCTTTCTTTTATTTCTGTAATTCTATACTTATAAGAAGCTAGACTCACTCATCATCTGAATATTTAAACATGTAATATTCACCTCGTTGCTCCTGTTCAACAATTAAACCTGCAGCTTAAACAGGAGCACACACAATTGATGACCGAACAAAACAACATGGTGTTTTGCTGCTGTAAATAGACCTGGCAGAAATGACAAAGCCACAAAGCGACGATGAAAGAGAAGAGGAAGAAGAGGACATAAGTGTGGCTAAAGATGAGGAGGAAGGACTAACACTTGGTCGCTTAGCAACCATGGTGAGAATGGCCACTGAACTTCAGCGAGTAGCTCAAGAATGGGACCCTTTGATGAGCCGTTCATTACAGTTCTCCAACATAATCGATGGTGGCATGTCGGTGTATAAGGATCTTTTTGCAAAGAAGAAAAAAGAGCGACAACAACTGCCTATCACTATGTTCTTCTCCCGAACAAACACACCTGCACCGCGGGCTTCAAAAGAAGAAAACACTGCAGAGCGGAGTCAGGATGCAGCGGCTCAGTCTGAAGAGCAGTGAAATAAAGCTGAGTCACTATTTGTCCGACTGTACAGGTAATTTGTATTTTTTTCATAATCATTTTTAATTTTCTCCCGTTCACGGTGGGCGGTGCTAATCTCCGCAATTTGAAGCCTTCTGTTCACGTTGATGATTAAAATTATTATTTGACAGTACATTACAGAAGTTATTTGTTGAAACGTTTCTAAAGTACTTTTATTTTACTTTATTTGTGAAACAAATGGTTGAGACTGTAAAATGGTTTGTTCGTTCTTTCTCTTCTTTTTCTGAGTATTTATTGTAACCCCCGCGAAAAACAAGGGTTTACTGTATATCAAATATTTATCAGTAAAAAAATACATCTTTTCTTTTCATCGTTTCTCTAACCACAAACCACTGTTCTAGAAGGACAAAAAAAAGGTAATGTCTCCTGAGATCTTTTATTTAACATAATGATAATTAACACATGATAAAACCCAACCAAAAACACAGGAAAAACATCATACAAATATATGTGATTACATGTATATAGAATGGCAAGAAGCGGGTAAGAACATGTCAGTGATGACTAGCGACAGTCCCAACAGAAACCTAAGGTTGGAAGTTTTCGGTCTGTTCTTCAATGAACGTTCATCAGAGATGAGCGCTGCGATACCGGGCGATTTAGCACACAGCTTGTCTTTTGACGTCTCCCCAGCATCAGGAGCCATAATACAGCACAACAGGCAACACAAACCTTGAAGCGCATTTCTGTTGTTGCACCTTTCGGTACACGCTGTTGTGTTGTCTAGTCTGGCAACCAAGCTGAACCTAAATAGCTCCAGAAGAGAACCTCTCTGGCTTGTCTCCTCCTTTGTGTGTCTTTATCTTGCACCCTAGAAATGTTGTGCTTTTGTTGTGTGCTTGTGTAAACAAGGACTGTGTGAGAACTTGGCGAGGCGAAGCAGGTGGCCGCTCAGGCTTTACTGTCATGAGTATTAAGGAAAAACAGAACACAGAGAAGGGTCAGAGCACAGCTGCGTGGCCTGACCCTACCTTGAATCTACTGCTGACTTGTTTGAGTTGGTGAAATCTAGACAAGTGTGACATGGGGACGGGCATTATATTTCCTGAGAGTGTGTGTGTGTTTGTGTGGGAGGGGTTACGGTGGGGGTGGTGTTGATGGGCTCAGGCCTCTGGCTGCTGTTAACCTTCAACCTGTCCGGTCAGGTGGGAGATGAAGGACAGTGTTGTTTGTATTGTACACGTCACGATTGAGGCAGGAAAAACAAAACAAACAGTAAACAAACAGAAACTCTGACCTTTTGTTATTATCCAGGGTTTCTCTTTAAATATTTTCTTTGTTTTTCAAGCGGCCTCCCCTCGCCTTCCGAAAAACTAAAAAGTCAACAGTTCAGCCACTTCTTTCTTTCTATAAGAAATGTATTTTTTATTTATATTGAAAAATACCCATTCTTTAATTAAGGCATACGTGGGACTGGAAAGATTTATTCAGATTTGTTCAGAACAGTCATACCGTGTTGTTGTTTTTTTCTTGGTTACCATTTAATTCCAATGTTTCACCATCAGGATGTCAATATGCAAAACATATATTTTGTTTATTTCCTGTGCTTCAACATGGTGAAACTTTTCCTACAAAAAAATTGCTCCTTGACTGAAAAACATAATGAAGCCACATTAACTGAAAAACAAGCTTAAATGTTTGATGTTGTGAACAAGTTTATTTCTACCATAATTAACACCTAACACATAGAGCTGCGTTCGTTTTTGGTGTTTACTAAAAACGAAGAAGACTTGAATTGATTGCGCAGCATAATTGGCCCCGACGAGCAACTCAGGCGTCGCCGATTTTTGCAGCAAATCATTTTATTCATGCGTTCTCTGTCGGAGAGCAGAAGAGGAAGCTTGCACTTACGAGCTGGAGCTAATATGTCTTTGGTTTAGAAGTACTTCGCATTAAGCCATGGAAGTACTCTACTCAGTATTTGTACTATGTCTAACAGTAAGGTTGACTGTGACCTATTAACTATAGTAATAGGTCACCTCATTTAAAAGATGAGTATTGAGTATTGGATTAAGATTCTCTCTTCAGTTCATTTTGATTCCACGTCGATTTAAAAACATAAAATCCATGATCGACCAAATAAGTGTCTGATAAATAATTACTGTTATAACAGTCTCCAGACTTTTGTTATATATAACGTAGATACTTCCTTGTGTACCTTCACTGACGACAACTTCAATGTTAATCTCCAGCCTTTATATAACAGTGATGAGCTCATTCAGATAAAAATTCTCTTTCACACAGTGAATGTGGACAGAGCCGGCAGCAGCACTGTCTCCGTAGGTTCATCCTTTCTTAATAAGAAACTCCCTTTTCTCCAGCGTCTCTTTTGTATGTTGTTTTATGTCCAAATGTTTATGTTGGGAGCATAAATAGTTTGTAACCACAGTAAAAATGCCTCTTTTAGCACAACACTTGACCCATAATTATGTCTGAATTTGTGCATGTTGTATAAATGGAACAGATGGAAAAGCTGCAGCTTTTTGAGTCATCATGGACGAGGCTATCCCCTCAGGAAAAAGGAAAATAAATAGATGGATAAACAAGTAAAGGCCAGGTCATGTGACCAGACTGTGGCGTCCAGGCCATGATGGCGGTGTCCCTGCCTCAGTGCTTCTCAGATTAATATTGTTATCAGCACAACCCTAATAAGGCTCTTTCCTATCTGCTTGATATTTATGATGGATAATAGCCATTTTTCCATTTTCTTTATTCCTCTGATTTTTTGCTGATGATATTGCAGGTTTGAATTATTATGTGGTGAAATTAATGAGAAGCTAGATTTATGGGTTCCATTTGTTTGTCAATTTGGAAATTAATTGGGTGTTAATTTTAACCGTCCCCTCATCAGTGCCGGTACCGAGCATGTGTGCATTACTTTGCATTCATTGAGGCTTTTTTCTCCCTCCTTCATTGTGGGTCACTAGTTTTGCATACGTAAAAATAGTCCCACGGCTCATTCTCTTGATGACTTTGGGAGATGCTGTGCATTTGGAAATTTACACTATTCTGTTATAATCTACACAGAATGACAGTGCACGTATAATAGCTATTACTTTCTCTCCTTTTATGTTTCATTTGAAAAAAAGAAAATAACCCCCGTGCATGGAGAAATGTCTCTTATTATTTGAAAATTAAATGAGGTGAATAACACCAGCACACAGTTTATTTCAGAAGACATTTAATTTGGCCTTTAAATGTGATAGGTGTCTCAGATGGGGAGGTGGTACAAGGAGCAGCCTGTAGATGGAGTCGTGAGTGGCTCCAAGCCATCCCTGTATTTCTCTTGCTTACCTCTCATATAGAAAATCCCTTAATGTTGGAAATGTGTGCCAGACTGGAGAGGTGAGGCAGGTCAACATCTGTCTCCAGTTCTAGCCCAGAGAACCCCGGGTCGGCCGGCAGAACATACTGGAGCTGCTCAGACAGACAGAGTGCGGCCTGTACTTTGACCAAAGTTTCACATGACAAGTCTAATTTTTGCAAGAGAAAAGTTTTAAACCCAAGCTAAAAAAAAAAAAAAAACCAGCACTGGAAACCTAAAAATGCATTCTAACTCTCATGGATCTTTATCTAACTAGTGTTTTTGGTGGATCCACTGACACATTAATACATATTTTACATTATACATTATGTTATTTATCAGCCACATACAGGGAGTCCTTGACTTCCATTTATCCATCCAGAAGAAAACTACTGTAGACTTAGTCCAACCTTTTCACAATATGTCGCTGCTTTTTTCCCACTTTTATTAGAATAGTTTTCCACTTTGTAGATGTTTTCTTTTCCATTTCTAAAATAGTCATTTGTGGAAGAAAAAGTCTCATTATTGTCTAATAATCCTTAGTCTAGACTCTTGTGTCACCTACTGTACATGCACTGTGTTGCTGTATGGCAAGTTGTCAACCTCAATTTCCTTTCAGTCTGACTGTGTGTATCCCTATGGTGTCGTTATGTGTGTGTGTGTGTGTGTGTGTGTGTGTGTGTCTGCGTGTCTGCATCTTGTTTGGATCTGATACCTCTGGCAGCGCTGTGCCCCTGTCGTTGAACACACATTAACTCACATTGGCCCTCCTATTACACGCCCTAAGCGGAACACCATAAATCTGCATTTGCTTCCATTTTCACCTTCTTTCATGATGAGGCCCAGTGTTTTAAAGGCATTTATTCTGCTTCATATAAATAATTAATCAGCCAAGTTAATTTGCTTCTGCCTGACTTGGTCAGCTTCATTAACCACTATGGAATTGTTAGACTACAAGCAGTGCATCAGCAAGGGCCGACAACCAGTGCACAATAGCTCTAAATCATTTCACTGATTTGCGGAAAACATGGCTCACATAAGCACTGGTGTCGCCGTGCACTTGACCTGCAGGGAGACAGGAGGGGGTTGGGCCGGTGTGTCTGTCTGGCTATTGTGTACCCATCAGCAGAACAGAGTGTCTATAATGTAAGGTAAACACATTGTTGTCAGATTTTGGGGCAGGTGGTTAAAATCCTTAAATTTGCTTTTTCTTTTTCTTTTGATGATACAAAAGGTTAGACTTGCTTATAAGTTTAATTTAAAAATTTTGTAATTATTTTCGATGCAGAAGAAAGTCAGGATTTAGATGAAAATGTCACCAGGATTCCCTCAGCTTCTTTGTGTAGTAGACTGTGTCATAGCTATATATTTTAGATTTTAAAATGCGTCACTTAGACCTAAAAAAGCACTGGCAGAAAATAGACTACTTTTGTCATGTTTTTGATACAGTCGCTAAAAAGAATGTAATGTAACGTCAAACTGTGGTGCCAATGTTTGTATGTTATTCTTTTGAGTTAGATTTAGTTATGAAAAATAACATTTTTGTGTAACAGCTCAAAGGGGTTTGTTTATACTCGGTCCTGTATTTTGGTGTTAATTGAGCAGCCCTGAAGGATTTGACTGTTTTTTTGCCTGACCTCAGATTGGCTTTTTCTCATGGAGATCCTTTGGCAGGCCTCACACAGTCGCCCTGTTTCCCATTAAAAAGCTATTCTGCCGTGGTTCTTCTGGGAGCCGTGCGAGTAAATATATCCATTTCCATAGAAAGTGTTTTGTTTTTGGACTTGCAGTGTTTTCTTGGGCTCCTCTGCTCTTGCTCGGAGCAGGTTGGGTTCCTCTCAGATGTGTGCTGGACCCCGGACCCCTCCCCACGTTCGACTCTCAATGGAAAACACAAACAAAACCTGAGTCCTTCTCACTTTTCCCCGACCCAGTATGGACTTGTCATCTGCCAAAGGTCTGCACCGGAAAAAGACAAAACAAAGAAGCAGTTCATTGCTGTGTTGGAGCTGCAGTCTGTGGGAGAATGTGTTTGCCTCACTGCGTACGCTACACACAAACAAACAAGACACTGGGACGTACAAAACTGAGGAGGAAATCTGGAATAAAAGTGAAATTGTGTGGGAAGGATATGGCAGATGTTTATAGTTTGGCCCAGCACTGAAATGCGACCTCACCACTGCATGTTTTAACAGCTGCTTCTCTCTCCGTCTCTGTCCCCTGTCTTTTCCCCCTTTCTTCTTTCAGGTTTTTTAAGTCATGATGCAAGAATCTGGGGCGGAGGCAACCAGCAATGGACCGGCCAGCCAAAATGGAGCAGCAAGCCTGGAGGGAGGCTCCAGGGAGGGACGACACAAGAGCAACACGCCGTTGGTGGAAATGAGCGCGGCTGAACTTTTGCATCTCCAGCAGCAGCAGGTAGGAAGGCCAGGAACTCTTCAACACCTGTCGTCACTTCATTAAGCCCTGTCAACATCGGGCCTGATTCCCCTCCTAAAGTGCAGCTTAATATTTAATTCTGTCCTAAAGTACATAGCGTACATAAACACATTATTATTATTTATGTATATTGTGGACCTTTTTAAATATTAAACCACGGGTGAAGTGCTCGTGTGTTCGGTTCCTGAATGTGTTTTTTCTGCAACATACAGAATCTGCATTTCGATACAAAATTTATGAAGGTGTTCTGACAAGTTGTAAGTACGTAGGTGCTGCTGGATCCTGTAGACATCTAGGAATGATGACATCCCAGGTGATGACAGAGTTTTTCCACTGACTCTTTGTAAACATAGGCAACACTCGCAGGTAATGCCGTGTCGTCCAATGGAAGGCATCGGCGCATGATGGCGTTATCTTTGACTGAGCTGCAACGTGTTTTTGCTATCAGAGAGAGACTGGAGGCAAACAGAAAAGGGCTTTTTCTGTTGCTGTCAGTGATGTGTGTGTGTGTGTGGCTCATGACAGTGTGTTTTAAGGAAACAACAATGAAGAACACTGAAAAAATCAGTGTGTCATCTACTATCTGCGTCTGTCCAACAAGGCAAAGGAGGTTCCTGTCAAGATCTGTTTAGTGATGATGCACAGACTCTGTGCTGCTGTCCGTTGTCAAATCACATCCATCATGGAGTGGAACATCACTCCAGCACCGGGGCGACATGATGCTGTGTAACACAATTCACTACAGAGCTGCGCAGTTATTGAGGATCATCACTCTTCATCTTTTGCTGAAGCCATCTGATGGACATCAGTGTTAACGTCAAACACCAAGCTTGTCAGGAAAGACGATAAAACAGAGAATTCAAACACAGCCTTGTGGCCAGAACATTATTATTTTATACAGCTCTGCAATTTTATATAATTTATTCAAGTAGGAGCAACACAAATGGCTTTTTTAAATAACTTCCCTTTTTTAGATGAGCTCAACCCAGAGAAAAGGTGTTTTTGTTTTTTTTCACAATAAACACCTTTTAGTTTGGCTTCCTTTTTGTCTTAGTGTCTTAGTGAGCGTGTATTAAGGCATTGACAGAAAAAAACATTTATCAAAGTGAGTGCCACAAGTTGACTGCTGCCAGGAGGAGTTCAAAAGTCGAAAGTGTGAGCATCTCACTGGGAGCTGATGGAACAACTGGTTACTGTGTTCTTCTCATGAGCAAAAGCTACAAATAACGTATGGAGAGTTACTGTATATGGTCATTGTTGGACGGGTTCGTCTGTGTAGTTCCTCCTCTGTTAATGTCATGATGTCATTAAATGACTCACTGACTCAACGTTGACTTTATTGCGAGATTAGTTCTCATGAAAAAAATCTGAAGTCGTCAAGGACCTAGCGTGTATAGAATTGTGTTAAATGACATCAACTACCTGAAGTAGTAGTTAGCCAATGTGGCTAACTGTTGGTGAAAGTTGTGGCGGTCAGTGGAATATCAGCCATTGGCTCTGGTTTGTTCTCTTTGTGCATACATTTTTACAAACAGATAATTAACAAGGTATAATACATACTGTAATTACTATTGACAAACAAATTAGCCAAAAAAAATGACAAATTGCATATTCAACATTTTGCACTTATCAAAGGCCTTTTGTGTTTGTTCAGATTCACGGCTCCTCCCAACGCCTTAAACTCCAGCCCCTGTAGCCAGACCTCCGACCGCTGTGTTTTTTTAAACTCCAAATATACATGTCATCAGTGACGGAGTCACCACCATACTGAATTCATTACTGCAGTAGTCATAAAAAACCATGGATAAAATTTCAATAACTTTAAGCCACAGTTGTGTAAACTGAAAACTCGAGTCCTGTTGCCTTTTCCTTTATTCTTTGCCAAAAGAACATTTTGATTCGCTGTGCTACGACAGCGGAGTTACAGTTCAGATGAATGTAGAAGGATAGACACCCACACACACATACAGTGTGAGAGAGAGTATTTAAGTAGTGGTGACACTGTTGACACCATGAAGGGGTGAATATGAAGCTGAACTTCTAGCTTATGTAGGATCCCAGTTCTCCAGTCATTCACAAAATCATTCCATTTCTGTCCAGGTGTTGCACAGGCCTTTAGAAAAGGGATGATTAAATCTGATTGTCAGAATTGATATTGGTCAAAATCCATGACAGCATTTCAGATTTTTATGGACGGGTGTGATTTTTTTTTTCTTCCTGGTCTTCCATATTTTGCCACAGAAAACAAAGACGCAACATTCGGTCTTTGTGCTGTTTAGACAAGTCCCCTGGTCAATTTGTGTCCTACAGTCTTTGTTAAAACACCGGCAGCTGCATTAATCACTGCACCTGATAAATGGTGCATGGATGTGGACCAGGATAAGATGTTCCACACCCAGCTCCTGACACCAGGCTTTGATAGGCTACTTACCACGGCAGAGTTACTGAGGAGGGAGGCAGCCTTTCTTTTTATCCTCCCATTAGACTAACCCAGGATTTTCACTCATGCACCATGAACCATGTTAATTGTCCCGGGGGAATTACAGTCTTCGCTCAATTACTTGATAACTTTTTCTTTGTGGCATTTCACAGTCCTCCCCCCCAGTGTTATTTGCTTCTCCGCACTAATACGCCTCTTGCTGACACACTGTCTTTTTTTCTTCCTTCATCTTTTCTTTGTTCTTCACCAAACATCCAAGGTGCCATTAAACAAACCTGGCCCTGACATACCATTTATTCTTATTAGGGAACATAAGTATGAAAGACAGTGCCCATTAATAAAGATGGGGGATGAAATAATTGTAATGTGTTTGATCATCTTGATACTGACAGGAGAATTCATCTTGCAAACTAGTTGGATTTGGGGGAAGTGGACCATAAGCTTGGTTTGAGCATCTCTATTAGGAAGTCAAACACTGTCTGTCAGGAGCCTCCGACACTGTCTTTAGGGAATTTTTGAAGCTGACCTGTGATTATTGTCTGTTCAGTAAGTTGAAATTTGTCTAATCGATATAGCCGTGGCATCAGGAGATTTTTTTTTCTGTTGTTTGAGGCTGCTGTGATTTCTTCAGAGCTGATTTAAAAATAAATGTTGTCTTTATTTCGAGCCACTAAACAGGTCGTTTAGGTCAGTGGTTCTCAAACTGTGGTACCACTGGTGGTACGTGGGGAAAAAATAATATTTTTACATTTTCAGTTGAATAAATCTGAAACACACCTTGCACAATAATACAACATTTAAACATAAACATCTTTATAAACATCTATCCTGTGTGGTGGAAACTAGTAGTGAAAGCCTGTGCTGCTATAGTCTAGTGTTTGTCATCATGGTGGTACTCAGAGAGCTCAATGTTTTCTCAGGTGGTAGAGAGTATAAAAAGTTTGAGAACCACTGGTTTAGGTCATTCACAGAGCTTTATAGTCTCAGGTTCAAAAATCTTTCCTAAAGAACATTTTCTCTTTCTGGTCAGGTCTTCTCCCTCTGCTGACATCTTTGAATTTTACAAATGTATCATTTTCTGTTTATTTCTCTATCTGTCATTCGTTTCCTTTTTTTTGTTTTCGATGTTTGCTCAGCTTCTGTTGTTTCCGGGTCTCTAAATAGATTTGTCCGGTAGTTACTCTGAGCAAATGAAGGAAAACTAAAAATTCTGGCGACAATTTAAAAAAATAAAAAAATCAGTCCGACATGGTGGTAGCCATGGACGATGCCTGATAAACCTCAGGACATCCACAATATTTGTCAGTTTGGCATAAATTAAATGTTTTTAATCCACAAGGTTTTTTTGAAGAAATGAAGCAAATAGACCGGACACTAAAGTTGGTCTTATATTGTAATATATTCCCAAGAAGAAAAAACAAATGAATGTGATTTTATTTCTAAACTAAAATTAAAATCACTGAATCAGACCACAGTCATATTGTCATATTGAGTGAACGAAACTGCAGCTTTGCTAATGTTGCAACTGTTTTTGTGTTGCTCAATTTACATTTCTCCTTTTTGGTTGTTTTTTTGCCAACCTTTATTTTCTTCAAAAGCTGAACTTGTTGATTTTTCTTTTGTGTGTTTGTTTGTGTTGCAGAAGTTGTGGTTTAAACGCTTTCATAGGAGGAAACGAAGCTAGCAGTAATAACACCACCATAGAAGAGGTTTTGCAATAGTCTGTATGTGGTATTTGTAACTGTAAGATTTTGCAACAGGAAGTTGTGTTCGACCTGTAGTTTAATAAAGTCAGTGGCACTCAGGCTGTCCAAGCCGCCGTTTGTACATGAGACACACAAATGTAGAGGGGGTTAAAAAGTGGGGTATGTTTGTTTGGCATTAATGCAAATTTGGAAAAATGGGGAAGACAAACTTGTAATTTGAAAAATAAAAAGATAGATATATATATATAGATTTGTGTATATATATATATATATATAAATATATATATATATATATTTATATATATATATATATAAATATATATATATATATAAATATATATATATATATATTTATATATATATATATATACACACACACACACATATAATTAATTAAGACTTAAAAGTAGAACATAATTTCAGTTTTCTGAGCTGACTGTTGATTCTTTTTGGACAAAAGAAAAAAAATGACCTGTATTTTGGAGGTTTACTCTATATTAGTGACAATCTCACAAGAGAAGCATTTTTTTAAACACTTTTTACTTCTGTGTTTTTGAGGTGTGGGCTGTATTGCGTGTACAGAGAGAAGAGAGTGACATGCCACCTCAGTGGTAACAGAAAGAGCTGAGTGGATGCAGCTCATCCGTTTGCATAATGCAAAGCTCTCACTGTCCCAGGTGGAGACTTGAGGAGGTAGAAATGCCCGTCTTAGCCACTTAGCCATGTGTCGTCAAGCTTTAGCAAGACAGAAGTGCATGATCGTACACACATGATAATATATAAGATCGGGTGAGATCAGAGACCACCTTCGTCCCACTGTTGTTGAACAATCA